CGCGATGTCACGCATTGAACCAACGAATAATAGCAACCGCGCGCATGTCCGTCGTATCAACACTTTGCGCGTAACCATTCACGGATTCGCCAAATTATAAACCAATTACTAATGGCAATTTCCAAAAATGCGTCCATTGACACATCGTTGGAAATGGCCTTCTTTTATCGTTTTCTTTCAAATGACAGCATGCTAGAAAGAATAATTTCACAGGGAGTTTAGTCCCCTTACTATCTTTAAACCAAGGAAGCTTTTCAACAATAATTTCGCCAGTTACTTTTTGGATAGCTGCAAATGATTTACTCTAGTACCGGTACCTTTAAAGTATCAAAATAGCTGGATGAGAGACAGTGGTGCCACAGAGATACAAACTTGATGCGTACATGTATTCATGCATTCCCATTATCTTAAAAAAGAAAGAATAGCATTGTGAAGTAGGAACGCATGGACCCTCCCTGATTTTTGTATCCGCTCATCACATCTCTCTCTCTTAAAGACTCATCCCTTATTCCCCCTCATAACCGGCCCCCTTTTTCCTGTGTACCCTCGAGCACTGCTTCATTAACGCCGCTTCCAAGTGCACACAGCCTCATCCGGAAAGAAAATGAAAGGAGGAAAGATCGAGGGAGAGAAGAAGAAAGAAAAAAAGAAAGAAATAATGGTCGAAAAAACTCTCACCTTCCAGAAAGAAAATTTGCAACAGAAGTGATAAGTAAACATTGACTAGTGCTTCCTGGGACCACTAGTACTCGGTCAAATTGAAGCTTGTTCAGGCTTGTTGATCGAAGATGAACAAGTCCGCAGGCTTTTGCACTTTTCCCCGTCATATAGATGATGGCAGGAGACTGAGCTTTGGCTCGGACCAAAAAAAATTCTCAATCCAGGTAATCAGTTATAATTGTACAAGTTTGATGTTATATTTTTTTATGTTGGGTTTCACTACAAAGACGCACGGCGCAGTATAACCATGCGATTTATTCATTTTGAGATTGGTAGTTGTCACTGATCATGTACCGGTACGCATTGACGGATTGAATGTTTCAACTGGCGGGCTATGGGGTCATCCATGCTTATCAACATTTTTAAAAGTGTATCAAACGTATGCTCAGGGAGGGGGGGGGGTTAACAACCCATGTATGCTTTTATAAGTTTGTAAAAATCTCGATCAATATTTTCGGTTCAGTATTTTTTTGAAATGGGTTCCCAGAAGATCCTGATACCTCAACTTTACAAACTCCGGACCAGCTAGTGATTCACGGACGCAGCTATATGTGTACGAGCCCGGTGACAAACATGAGCGACGCGGCACTTTTCAAACACTACTGTCGGCCAAGTAGCAGCCAAGCTGGGAAATTGACCTAACACTTCTTCAGAGTCGAAGAAAAATGGACAGAATCAAACCCTTACAAATCATATTTCTGTTAAAAAAAAATTGATAACTTAAACTGTTACAGCTGACTAACTCTCTATTCAAACCCTTTTCCAAACCCTTTTCTTAAAACTTCTTCTCAAATTGTGTTGTGTTGAGGTGCGAAAGTCGAAGGGGGGAAAAAAAAAAAACAGAAAGAACGATTTGTACAATCCAGGAGAGACTCTTGGTTTTTTTTCCCCCAAAATGTTTGGGTGCCTCGGTCCCTTGTGCGGCTCCATGGCCAACCATTAGCAGCAACTTAGTCCACCTGTGCACGTGGGATGCTGAAATTAGTACCAATGCTACAATCTCCCTACCTCGTTAGAAAGTCAGTTATGTCCGAGGCCTTACGGACGCACGTGCAGGGTTACCTGAACTTATTAAGCAGGTGATGAACTTTCCTTTCCACTTTTTTCCCCTTTTTCTTTGCCCTCCCCGATAAAAGCTTTGTCTCGATCGCAATTAGCTGAACACGGGGACATCGCATGACTCGAGTGCAGATTTTTTGATTGGATTGGAAGGGAGTTACGAAACACCTAGCAAAATCGGCAATACAAATTCGTGACGATCGTGCGTGGGTTGGCGTCACTAGCGTGTAAATCGGAAAGCCACAGTTTAATTGGCTCCCAAATCTTGCAGCAAACGCAAGTAGAAAAAGAGGAAGAATTTTTGGAATTTGAGTTGGACGTTGAAATTCCCTCCCCATCCCCCTCCCCCACCCCTCCCCCACCCACCCACCCACCCAAGTAAGATTTTGAAAAAATGTTAACAAATGATTTTTAAAATGAGTTAGAGTATGGGTATTCTCAAATATTTTCAACACCCACAGAAATATCTCTAAAATTAGAGTAAAAAATATGTGTAAGAGAACCTCAATTCACGTTTACTACATACTTGTGTCATTATAGACTTTTCCCATTTCTCCTTGTTCTGAAAAAGATTATTTTTGAAATGGGATTCAATTTTGGATATTTTTTTTTCAGCCAACACTAACTTTTTTTTAATATAACATTGTTTTGGATAGATTGAATCTTGCATTTTTGAAGACTTGATTTTATTTTAAACTGAAAATGAAAAATATGAGCATGAGAACAGATATTCCAAAATGTTCCACTTGTTTAAAAGGACACAATTTGTTGATCAAACTTGAATTACAACATGCCTCCCTCCTCCCCCAAAGAGAAGTCAGTTGAACAGATTTCAAATAATGAATTGCAATCTCTTGAATCAACCTATGTAAGATATCCAGACATAACAGCCATGAACTGACAGCAATCATGACTGATGTTTGTCAGTAAAACTGTCTTCAATCCCAAGGTATTGCCCAACAGCACCAGAAAAAAAAAAAACATGTAACAGTTGATAAGCACATGTGCAGTCCCCTTCATCATGGAGAGAGAGGATTTTTGCAAGCAACTCTGAGGTTCCTGTGTGTGATGGTGCGATAATTGCCGGGTTGCTTTTATCCACTCGCCATCTTTCCCGAGAACGTGGAGTGTCCCCATTAACACTTATTGAACCAGAGTACCCGTAATATTGTCCCCTCTCTATCTCTTTAATTTTTTTTTTTTTGGTGTAGCCTCGCTCTTAAAAGCCCTCCCCTGCTTTTTAATACTTCAACATCAAGTTTTTCCGGGGCCCCTCGGTCATGTTCAGATGAAGAAACAAGGAGGAAGGACAGAGAGCACGTAAGAGTGAGAGAGAGAGAGAGAGAGAGAAAGCGCGGTTGAAAGAAATATGACGAGAGAAAAGTGCATGACTGGGGATCTACCTGTAATTAACGCTTAGATCATGCGATAGCTTATCAGCGCAGGCATGCGTCAGTTAGGGCTGAATCCGTAATGGCGATAAACTCCCCAGGTGATTTATGACAACCATCCCGGAACGGGTCATATTCTTAATTAATGCAGAGATCTCGTCAAGGGATAGTGTAACAGTTGGAGGGAGATAATGCTCGGGCCACTCACCGGGGCCTCTGATCGCCCAGGAACCCTCCAGCCTCTTCCAACTCCTCATCTGCATCTGTCAATGCTAATTCTATTTGAGCCGAAAATCTGACACGACCTTTTGAGCAAAAGTACACGGCACAAAGACAGCTGACTTTTAATCAAATTATTATTTACCATGCTAACGACTTTTCTTTTGAAAACTCTCTTTTCTCCCGCCCTGCTGAATGGCATATCGTACATCATTCCGGCTCACTTTTAGAAAATACATGCCAAAAAAAAATTATTATTGGTATAATCTGCTTGGACAACTACCTGTGCGGTCCGCTATTGTGACTGTTTAATGTCATGTAAATACCCACTTGTCATATTAGAAGACTTACAGGTTTTTTTTTTTAAACAAGATGTATGCAGCCTTACACTGCTGGGAAATGAACCTCTGCCGTAATGCAATCGACTGAACACACACTAACTTGAAATTTAGGAAATCATTCTTTTGTAGTTCTCCGCAAATGGAATTCCGAGTACTTAGTTGCATTATTTGTCCCGCTCATGACACTGTGATTGTAAACACTGTCACTCCTTTGATCAAATTTTCTTACAGAAAAAAAGATATGAGTCCTTGAATCTCTCTTGGAGTTCACATGTCCGTGCTTTGTGGTTTGGCACTCTGAAGTGAAAAAGAATGAATTACCAAAGTGAATCACTAAATTTGAAACTTCAGGGAGGTAGTAACTTCAAAAAAAATCATATCAATCCAAGTTATAATACAGATTGTATAAGTTAATTTTCTTTTTAAACGCTTAATTCCAATATTAATCTTAGTGCAGAGCAGCACCCCCCCCCCCCTTTTAAATTTTTTTTTTTCAATAACCAGTTATGGGAGTCCAGAGTTCAGTACAGAAATTATAATTTTTCCTTTGCATTCATAAACACATACTTCGTTCCATAACTTGTTATGGATCTGTGACACTATCAACTTTTGTCAAATGATATGTCTGTGACTCGGATCCTTGAGTTCTGCAGTTTATTTTCTGTGAAGATGAAGAAATACAAAAACACGTCTTACTCAAGTCTTCACAAAGATAATGATGAAGCGCGCGAAATATTCGACAGGGTGTGTCTGTGAGGGCGCTTCCTAATTAGCATAAAAATAAAAGTTTTCAGCAAAGCACGGACATATATACATGTACAAACTTTCAATTTTGAACTACAATTTCAGTTTGCAGAATTTACAAGTTGTAATTTTTGAAATTTTGTTTTTAATGTGTTTTTTTTGGGGGGGGGGGTTGAAACAAGTATCATTGATCTGTCATTGAACTATATCACCTGTGGTTTAGCACTAACAATTAATTGTCAAATGTACTTTAAAAATCTGTAATTTTACAAAACGAAACCTGCCCCTTTCGGCTTTTGAGATTGGTGTCCATCCTTTTATCGGAGGTCACAATTGGCTCAAACTAACTGTAGAATTGCCCCAACTGACTGACAGTTACAAGTGGGCTTTATTGGGGCAGCCACAATTGTTAAGGTTACCAGTGAAACAGATCAGACACTCACACAATAGAATCTGTCAAGAAAACGGTGAATTCATGTTCAAGTGAGGGTAAAAAAAAACAACCTGTTTTTGGTTCGTTTGGCAGCTGGAAGCTCTGATTCGCGCTCACGAAGAGAAGAACGCTAAACTGACGGACCAGTTGGACCAGTTGAAGAAGCACGACCTCAAACTGGACGTGAGTACTTTTCTTCTTCACGTGATGAATTCCTTGGGATGAGGAAAACAGATACTGGTATTATCTATAGCTAAAGTTTGGGTCTATTTTTATTTTCTTGTCCCTGATATATATCTGACATCTATGATTTTTATAATTCTGGAAGAACTCCTTAATGCAGTCGTCCTCCCGGAGTGATTATGAATAGCAAACTACCTACCCAACAAATACAAACATTGTTTGGAGCCATTTTCAACGACACTTGAATAGCAACTTAAAAAGGACAGAGGTAACGGGGACAGGAAAAATGGCACACTTTGGACTCTTAGTCCATACACGCATACTTTTTGTTATTGATTTTTATATACATGTATGTAGTAATGTTTGTCATCAGTTGACAACTTGTCTCTGTGATGAACTGTAATGATCTGAAGATAATGTCAGCAATTTATCATTCTATAGACCAATACAGGCACGTGATCATTGTACACACATAACACACAAGGCCCCTTTCAATGGCGAACGCATTGTGCACGCTATTGTGCAAACCTATGGTACTGCCCCATGATGGATTATCTGAACAATAGCTAGCGCAATGCTTTCACCATTGAAGGGGGCCTTCATTACAGAATTGATAGCATGCCCAGTGTGGTATAGAGGGAAAGCACAAGTTGAATCGCCTGTCACGGTCATGTCCACTGTTGCACACATAGCACAGTTTCCATGCACTCCCTGGAGACCAGAAAATGGAAGAGCGCCATCATAAGTCGAAGAATGGATAGGTTCTCCACCAATGGTCATAGAGTAGCAGGTTCAGTACTTGACTTCTGTTTGGTTGGAAAAGAATTTTCGGACCTACTTAAACAGTACATGCTATTTCTTTGAAAAGAAATTTATTACTTGACTGTCTAGCATTTTTTTTTTCTTAAAAGGAAAAGGAAGAGAATTTGTTTTAAAGTTCTTCACCATTTTACATGTATGTCCCTGTATTGCAGTGTGTATGCTCCACTATGATTCTAATATCACTGAACTGGAAAGATTTGTATAATTTTGTATTCCATTTTGTTTTCTGAAACTGTTTAAGCATTGTTCGTCAAAAAGCAGATCTGTATGACAAGATTCCTCATAAAAGTGTTACAATTCCCAATAGAATAAAACCTTTTGGGATGAATTACCTAGTTGTAATGTACAATATTTGCCATGAGCCAAATTAACAATTGTCAACACCAGTGCAACTGTCCAGCCATATGAATCAAGTTTGCACAAGTAATTGCTAACCCATCAGCGCCATAAACTACATTTGACCCTGATGCTCCTACTGGTACATTAGCAACAATTATTATCGTTACGGCCGACCACCACCAGCGAAACCCCCCCCCCCCTCTCCGCCAGATCATACCAACTAGTGGAGGGCAGTGGCAGAGAGATGTTGAGATTTCTACCACCGTCTTCATTTCTCCCTTTCTCCACGAGTCAGTTGACTCACGGTAACAGACCGTGAAGGGGTAAATGTATGGAGCGTCGGCCAAGCGTGTTTGAGCGAGTAACGGCCGCCATCACCGGTCCCCGTCGCAGCCGGCCGGCCAGGCATGACTGACAGTGATTGTCACCGACATGGTTCCATACATTATTTTTTTTTTCTTTTTTTTTCTTCTCTGGTGCCGATGCGCCAACCTCAGAATTCCGAGGTGTTTTATAGGTATCTCTGTTGACTCGGAAATATGATGATTGGAATATATGCACGAATTGGTGGCATAATGATTTTCTTTCGTTGGAGAAGGTGCCTAAAATGTTCATTACTGGTACCTCATTGCTCGTTGAAACTATTTGAAATACGATGACTCACCAGCTGCTTCGGCAGGTTTAACAAGTAATGTTTTTTGCTATGTTTGTTTTTAATGAATCCCCCCCCCCCACACTTTTTTCCCTTTTTGTAGGCTTCAGACCTGTAAATCTGACTTATAAGGGAAATTGACATGTACATGTACCTAATTATTTGGATGAAATTCTGGAATCGAGGTTTCCAATGTAGACTTCCCACTGATTTGAAAATTTAACACTTCACCAAAATGACAAAACTGGAAGTTTTCCTGGTCAGTGCCAGACACGGATCCAGAGGAGGGGGGGGGGGGTGGTTTGTGGGTAAACACCCACCCCCATCCCCCCACCCCATCCCCCCCCCCACCGCTCTGACGCCCCCAAAAAACAACATTATAACAATAAGTGCATCAGTAACAATGTGCTGCATTATCTATATGTCCGACTGTCTGCAACAATTGGACATAAAAAAAATCTGACAGGTCTGAACCCCCCTTCTCCCCCCCCCCCCCCCCCCCCCCCACCCTGCAAAAATTCCCGGATCCGCCCCTGAGTACTCAGGGTGAGTTTGTCTGGTTTGCCTGTGTTTCAGGCTAACCAGAAAAAAATTCTTATTTTACAATACTAAAAAAACCCAGGAGAGATGTATTTTGATTGCGTATTGCTACACCTGTAATTATAGCGTAACAGGCATTGACGAGCTATTTCTCAAACTGGCTCAGAGATGAGTAGCAGTTTTTGCATTCATGATTCGGAGCCCTAAAATCACCCCTAACTCTTGTCATTTGAAGGTTCTGAACCAGCAGCTTGACAAAACCATCACCCAGGTTTTGGAACTGAAGACAGCAAACGAGCGTCTGACTGCAGAGAGCACCCGCCTGGCCAACGAGAACATTGGCCTGAAGGCCGATGCCGGCAAGCTTCAGGATTGCGAGTCCCATCGAGAGCAGCTGACGTTCGAGCTGGGCGAGACTCAGCAGAAGATCAAGGAGTTCTCGTTTAAGATAAGCCAGCTGGAGAAGGACCTGGCATCCGCCGAGGAATCTAAGGCCGAGAGGAGCTCAGATGACGAGAAGTTAAAGAAGCAGGTCCACAAGTTAACTAAGGAGGTTGCTGGGTATCAGAAGCTGATCACGGAGCAGCACGAGATGGAAAGAGGTCTCAGAGAGGAACTGGAGGACAGGACGGCTGAGCTAGAACACGAGCTCTCCGAGAGGGACAGGATGCTGGTCTTCATTGAGAGACTACAGGAGGAGCTCAGGAAGAGGCAACTCGCCGGGAAGGAAGCAAGAGCCGAGAAAACGGAAGGGATGAACTTCAGGGAGTTTGTGCACCTCAAGCGGGAGGTGAACCACCTCCGGGAGGAGAACGAGGAACTGCGTCTGGCTGACAGGGTCAAGCCGCTGGCCCTGCCGAGCCTGAAGGCGGCCTCGCCGGGAGGTGACGGCAACAAGGAGAGAAGAAGTAAAGGAAGCAGGCACAGCGCTACTTCCTCCAAGTCGACCATTCTCAGCATAGCGAACGTCAGGTAACACACGTCGGTGTGCTTAAAAATTGAATAGCCATGCCGAAACGCAAAGATATGAGTGTAAAGATAATGTGAAAACTGTGTGATACAGTCGGGAAAAGGCTTTCTTGAATAAGCTTCCTTGAGCCGTCCAGACTTCACTGCAATGTATATTTTCACTGGTCTGTTGAAGTTTTAAGCTGCAGCTCTACCTTCAATGAGCATATGTTGTTTTGAACCTCCCTTTGCAACAGATAGAGACTGCTTCAGTATAATAATAATAATAATAATAATGGCATTTATATTGCGCAAAATGCATAAACATATGTTCCAATGCGCATTACACTACAAATTACATGATGAATAAAACCGTATTGTTAGAATCAAAACTACAATACCATACAATTATAAAGTAAAACCATCAAAATTCATAGGGTAAACATCTAAATTTCTATTGAACCATTAAAAATCACCGAGTGCACAATTACACATAAAAAGCCTTCTGAAATGAAAAGGTCTTCACCTCGCATTTAAAACTCCCCAGTGTTTCTTGGCATCTAATGTGACCAGGTAACTGATTTCAAAGCTGAGGACCAGCCACCATAAATGCTCTCTCCCTGAGTTTATTAGAAGTACAAGGGGGGACCTGTAACTTCAGCTGGCAAGATGATCTAAGAGAATATGAGGACCCACTCAACTGAATAAAATTACTAATGCAAGTGGGTGAGATCTTATGGACAGATTTAAAAACAAACAAGAGAATCTTAAACCAGATGCGATATTTAACTGGCAGTCAGTGTAAATTCTGGAGGATTGGATGACACTATTTTGATTCACGACACACAGTCATGTGTTCCCACCTGTTAGTCTTTATAAGTAAATGTATACATTTGTATATTTTTCTTTTTAAATAATGTGAATATTTTTTGTATTTGTTGTCTGAGTGACAACCATTTTTTTTCTTAAATGCCAGCTGCTTTTCTCAGATCTGTTGTACACAGTTTTGAATGTTTAAATTCAATTAATAATACGTACAACAGACCAATAGAATTGTGCACACAGTGTATTTAAAATTCATAAACTATTTTAACTTATTAAAATAATGGACAGCAGTTTTAGTAACTTTCAATTATTACTAAACGTAAAGGAAAGTTGACGTCATGCATTGAAAATTAAAGTAATTGACAAACCTTGAAAAGTTGTCCCTGTATACAAAAAAGAAAAGACTTAACTTAGAAAACCTATGCCTGTGTAAATTTGCAAGTATGATGACTCTGCACACGTACAGCATATGGAAATACAGCTGCTAATTTTTTGGATATCAGCGAATTTGTGTGTAATATCGTCATCAATCTTGCGCATACTAGGTCAAGCAATCTGCGGAGCGAGTCCCAGATCACACTGTGAGGGGGCATAATCCCGCCGTTAGAGCCAAGACAAAGACCTGGGGATGATTTTCAATTAGCACCGGCTCCATTAACCTTTTGGCTACCGCACCCAGGTTGGCTTTTCCTCCGCGACTTTGCCTCTCTCTTCTCTTCGCTTCTTTACTCTCTCCCCCCCCCCCTTCCTCCTCTTCCTTCCCTTGCCCTCACTGTATCTTAATGTTGTCATTTGTCGCATGAACACGGTCATGCTCGGGCATCAAATCACACTCTGTGCAAATAACACTACATATAATATGTGCATCACATATCGCTGGTAATTGTCTAAATGGCTCTGTCCTAATTCCAGAATGTAGGTTATTTTATGCGGGCGCAGGAATCGCCTGATGTATTAATGCAATTAAGGAGTTCGATGGTACCGTCATATGGCACCGTGTAAACTTTGAGGCAGAGAGGGATGGGACGGAGGGGGGAAAAAAAAGAAAGAATAAGAAAACGGGGAAAAAAAATATGACCGGTTGGAAGAGATGAACTGCATCTCATCGCATGCTGATGAAGGCAGTGCCTAGTGTTTGTGTATGAAAAACCTGAGAGGCTGGGATGAGAAATGGAGAGGCAGGAGAGAAGACAGAAGAGGGTGGGGGATTGAGTTTCATAAGGAAGTCAAGATATTTCCTGACGAATATTACATCTGTGAGTACGTCTCAGTATTACACACATGTGTTTGTGTGTGGCTATGTGGGAGCGGGCGCGTCCTAATTTATGACATATTGAAAGATCATGAAGCTTTTCAGAATAACCCAAATATTGTATTGATTGATGTGACATACACGGCGATATGCCGGGTTTACTGGACTCTCACACACACTCTCTGCCGCTCGCACACGGTGTCCACGACCTCGGTTTTGTAGCTCCTCGGCCGGGTCACACTTTGTTGTCCGAGTTTATCCAATTTCCTTCTCAATCTGGGAAGTAGGTTAAGTATCAATAACGGATACTCTGAAGCATGGGCACGCAGGGCCCCTTGATGGGCTGTCACACCTTGCAATCGTAATAATAACCCGGGATAAATGTTGGCTTATATTTACAAGTCTGTCCAATGAATCTTGGAGTGGTTTTCCAAAAAAAAAAAAAAAGGCAAGCGGCAATTCCAAACTCGGAAGTTTCATATGGCTAGTTTCACAACGATCTGTACGATGAAGCTCCGGTTACTGAAATGAACTTGCGAGAACCCTGGAAGAAGCAGGCGTGAGATAAATAAAAGTGAAGCGATCTAGGACTAGGAGGGAGATGGATAAGAAAGGATTTGTAATGGGAAAATCAGGCAAGTCAGCAAGCAGGTCCAAGTTGGTCAGCATCTAAGACAAGCAAGCAAGCAATGAAGGAAGCTTGTTTAATTGCTTTTTCACCCAAAGTGCAACACTATGAGTGCGTTTGATTACTCGCGCCTGGCTCCTCGCGTGATGACAGACATGCGCATTGTAGCTAAATAAACGAATGGTTTCGGGTAAAGTTTCGTGCAAGAGCTGGAAAGTTGAACTTTGACATGACACTGAGGTTGCATCCGAATCAACTGTCTAGAGCTAGGTCTAGGTCCGCGCCCATTGAAAAGACGCGGGGACGGGCTGACAATAGATGTAGCTGTAGCTCTGGAAGCACACGGCCTGAGGCGCCCGCCGGATGTTGCATGGCCTTATGGGATACTTACCCAAGTAACCGGCTCAGCGAGTCGGTTACTTGGGCCAGGCTCGAGTAAGCGCGAGAAGTCACGTGAGAGGTAAATCGAACGCCGTCGTGCTTGCACGAGTAAGCGCGGGGGAAGTAATCGAACGCACTCAATATCACAGTGCTTTTCAGAATGAATGTTTTTGCCATTTCCAGACTGCTGCGAGTTGAGTTCAGTACTTTAAATTTACAGATTTATTGATAAAAGTGTGAAGTTTTTCATAAATTATTTTTTGAAAATGTGCTTTTTAACCACTAAACAAGGCGTCGCAAAGGACGAATGCTTGAATTATTATCCGCTGTAATGACATTCATGTTAAACTGCTGTGCACAGTAACTTCCCATATGGCTGACATACACATAAATGTTTTAGCACCGTCTGCAAATGACGCATGTGCAAAATATCTAGAGTTGTTTATCTTGCCACGCATGGAAATAGCTAAACACAAGACTGTGAAATTGTTAAAAAAAAAAAAAAATCCCAGGACTCAGAAGATGTTGTTTTATTTATAAGTAGAATTAAAAAAAAAAAAACAAATAGCCAAAAATAACAGGAAATCTGATGGAGGATTGGATTAGGATTTCACAGTTCAGTTAATGAGGGGGAGCCTAAGACCTGTGCGGTGCGACACCTCTCGGCAAAGACCAATAAATGGGTGGCCAGGTTCCCGCAAATTGGATTACCCCGGCAAAACAGGATTGAACGGTTTAAGTAAGGCTTGTTCAGCCAATTTAGACGTGGCCGGGTATTTAACCGTGTCCCCCGTTTAGATCTGGTTTATGCGGCAGAATTAGCCCTGATCCATTGTTTTGATGCGGAGCCAAAGTCCAGATTCACAGTTTTCAGAATCTTTTGATAGATTGCTGGTAACGGTGTTCACCACTCAAAATTTCTGATGGCTTTTCAGGACAATTTGTTGAAAAGGTTAATTCGATAGATGACTTTTCTAAATTGAACGACAAAATGCAGATTTTGAACGGGTTTGAAACTTGGTGACATTTGGGAGATGAATTGACGTCAGACCAGTCCAAAAAAAACATAAGCAGAAATCGAGAAAGATAATCGTCAATTTACTTGCAGAGTGTTTCATATCCGAAGCATGAATTTTATGCAATGGGGATCAGTTATTGTAAAGGAAGGTGGGTAATGGAAGATTTGTGCGCAGTTGACTGGAGGGGAATTTCTTTAAAGGACCTGTTAATATCAGGCTCCCCTTCTTTCTTTTTTTTACACAAACAACCTGCCTCGCATAAAACGGTTAATTTCCAAAACAAAATCTTGTTTGAATCGTTCAATAGACTCATCCCATTTCGGGGGTGAACGACAAACACTCTGTGGGTCAGGGAACAGGTATACGACAGCACCCAAAGCGTCAATCGAATCTTCCAAATCATCGATCGGACAAAAGAGGCCAGAACTTGAACCAGATCAAGTTCACGACCTGCGTGGCCCGCCGTGGTGGATCGAGGGGCGCAAATGGTCCCGCGTCAACGACCCACCTGGTGTAGAGAGAAGAGACGAGGACCTCTTGCAGTGACAGGTGGCTGAGTCCAGGGTGCCATCTGAGATGGACGGAGACACCGCGCCTCGCGACATCGGCCTGTGACGTTTCTCTTCTGCGGGTCTCTTCAGTTTTCATCCAGCACACTTCCAGTATTAGAGTTGTTATCACTGAACGAGGTCGATTCCTGATTTGCCTAATAGACTTTAAGTCCGTTTACAAAAGCTATACAGTGCAGCCCATGAATTTAGATTATTACGGTTTTTGCCCCCTTTTTAAAGTTGCTTTCCCCGTGCTCTCCAATTTTTTTTTTTTCTCAATAAATTTTGAACATGTATGTTTTATTCCAACTCTTTTTGTGTGTGCGTGTCTGTGTGTGTGTGAGCAACCCTCTGATTTTAAAAAAATCATTTTTGGACACAAACAGATCGGCCTTGCGTGCGGACTGCTTACTGGTCCGTGCATGATCAACACTGGTTGTGGGTTGGGAACAAGGCAACCGCGCCAGAATGGAATTATTTTTCGAGCCGCAAGTACATGTAGTTCAAATTTGTAAAGTAATTATTCAGCAGCTAAATCGTGGGCCGTTTTGTTTTTGTTGATGTCTCATTTGAAAGTGAATAACATTTGTAATAAAAAAAATGGAAAATATTTTTCGGAATGAAACTAGTAACTATAAGTATAACTTAAATTAATTTTCAAATGTGAAGAACATAAAATGCATCTCAGAAAGGTTGTACTGCCTGTAGATTGAGAAGGATATTAACTTACAATTAACAAATTATACAAGTTGAATTGTTTTATTTCCCATTTGGGGGCAGGGTTGGAATTGGGAGGGGTTGATTTATGCACCAATGTAAGTGACTTTATAATTTGATTTGTCTTTTATAAATGTCCTGTCTTATACGTAGAGAAATGTGGATGGTTGTCATTTCATGATCTCCATGATGCTGTCTGTCGGCTTAACTGAAGTCCATGGAAAAGTTGTCTCTGTTTGTGATCTTTCATCTTCAATCCAATTTAAAAAGAAAATCTTCTCTTTAACTTGCCAGCCTCAGCGCAACTTTTTTTTTTTTTTTTTTTGGATTGACTTGTCCCTTCAGACTTGATGCCATAAGTGCAACGCAGCCACCTCACATGCCAACAAATTAACAGTGTAGTCCACCGCCCAACGATTAACATCCCCTCTGATGATCGGCC